TATTCTGATCTGAAGAAGTTCAGTCCTGGCACACTGATCTACAAATTATTATTATTATTATTTATTTAATTTATATACCACCCTACTCCTGAAGGACTCAGGGCGGTGAACAGCCAAACAGTAAAAACACATAAATACAAAATTTAAAAACAAAGTAAAATCGAATTAAACAAATTTGGCCCAAGACATATTAAAATCCCAATCATTTAAAAACCAATTTAAAATTTGCGTAATTAAAAAGAGGGAAAAAATTAGGCCAGGCCCGCCTGGTGGAATAAAAAGGTCTTAAGAGCACGGCGGAAGGTGCGCAGATCCGGGATCCTCCGTATCTCCGGGGGGAGCTCGTTCCAGATAGTAGGTGCCCCCACAGAGAAGGCTCTCCCCCTAGGGGCCGCCAGTCGACACAGTTTGGCCGACGGCACCCGGAGAAGCCCCTCTCTATGAGAGGGTACCGGCCGATGGGAGGCTATTGGTGGTAGTAGGCGGTCCCGTAAATGTTAAAGCACAACCTCAGAAGGAATTTCAAGACGTTATTGGATGATGCAGGGATTTTACAGTAGAAAGACTGAGAACAGATGTCATATCCATCAAGTCCCTGTGTCGTATCTCCTCTCTATATCTGCTCAGATATCATCATCATGGATCATCATGGATGAGGGGCTGCCACAAAGAAGAGGGAAGGGTCAACCTATTCTCCAAAACACCTGAAGGCACGACAAGAAGCAATGAATTGAAGGTAAAATTAAGGAAAGAACCAACCTAGAACTCGGGAGAAATTTCCTGACAATTGGAACAGTTAACCAATGCAATGGCTTTGCCTTCAGAAGTTGTGGGTGCTCCATCACTAGAAGTCTTTTAAGAAGAGATTGGATAGCCACTTGTCTGAAATGGTATAGGATCTCCTGCTCGAGCAAGAGATTGGACTAGAAGACAACCAAGGTTCCAACTAGTGGTGAAATGTAAAATTTGTTACTACCGGTTCTATGGGCGTGGCATGGTGGGGGGGGTAATGTGACTGGGTGGGCGTGACCAACTTTTTTTTTTACTTTTAAAACCATTTTTTAAAAAATGCTTTTAAAAGCCTCTGACGATCCCAGCTGAGCTGCACGATCATCAGAGGCTTTTTTTTTTACTTTTAAAAGCATTTTTTCGGCCAAAGAGGTTTGTAGAAAAAATGCTTTTAAATTTTTTTTTTTAAAGCCTCTGATTGCGCGGCTCAGCTGGGCATGGGGGGGGGGAGGGCAGGGATTTTTGCTACTGGTTCTCTGAACCACCCGCCTCCATCGCTACCGGATCGGGCGATCCGATCCGAACCGGGAGTATTTCACCCCTGGTTCACTCTCAATTTGGCAGACAAGTTTCTATGGAAGAGGGGAGATCACACAGGATGCCAGATTTTTGGCCCCTCCCTGTGGGGACCTTCAGAAGTCCTTCTCCATGGTCTTGGGTTGGATTGACCGAGGTTATACGGGAGGAACAAACTAACCAACTTTTTGAACTGCACTCCGAAACACACAAGTAACCAATGCTACTCCTGAGCAAGTGATACAGCATGGCAGAAACTTTACAGCTTAATGAGAGTACGTGTTGCTGCACCTTGCACCAACTGAAGTTTCTAGATGATTTTCCGGGGCAGTTCACTTTTACTTAGAAAGTGAACTACATTAAACCATGAAAAACAGAAAATCCAAGTTATTTCCTCACACCACCCCAAAAAATCAACCAGATCCACAGATTTGGGATGGGGCAGCCCCATCACAGTATGGTATCTCCAACTTCCAACCAAGATACTACGATTGAGAGTTTCAAAAGCTGCTGAGGGGTCCAGCAGGACAAGGATGGTTAAAAAACTTCACCATGAACAAAATCAAGAGTGAAAAAACAGCAACAACAGAAAGACGTCGATTTCTCTATTTTTTGTTAGAACTTCAGCAGGTGGCTGCTGTGTCCATTCCCAGCCACAAGATGGAGCAAGGATAATCCAGAATATATTCCAGGCAAGAGAGCCGGAATGTAAATTTCAATGCTGGAGTCCAAGACACACACCCAAATTCCTGACAACCCTCATCCTTGCCAGGAAAAGAATTCTGGCAATTGGAGTAATGCAAAGGAGGGAAAGGTTCATCAAACAGAGAATTCACAAAGGCAACTGGCAACTTCAATTCCAAGCATTCTTGATGAATGTCACAACAGAAATCTGGCATTAAAAATAAGTGTGTTTATGCAATTCTCGATTTATGACTGTAATGGAGGCCAGCATTTCCATCATACATCGTGACAATCAGAAGTTGAGGCACTCAAATGACTGACATGGTTTTATGACATTTTTTGGCAGAGGCCATTAAGTGAACATGACAGTCGTTAAACGAACCCATTTTCACAACGGACATTTTTTTGCTGGAAACTGGAAATAAATTTTTTTTGCTGGTTTCTGGCAAAAAAAAAATTGTCATAAATTGTAGTCATGGGATTATGGATCCCTGAAAACAGTTGCCAAGTGCCCCAAAATGTGATCATGTGAATGCAGAAGGGAGGCGGCCGTCATAACTTTGAATCTGACTCATAGTACCTTTTGGGGAGTCTATCATGACTTCAACAAGTTATTAAGCAACTGGTCATAAATCGAGGATTACCTGCAGTTTTGATCTCCTCTTAAGGTCTGGATATTGCTATTACATCACTGCACACATACCTTAGAAAGTAACCATAGGATCCGGTGCTTTGATCAAAATGATAAAATGAGCATCATCCTGATGTACATAGAAAAAGGGCGGAGCCTGTGTCATTATAGCGCAATGCTTGTTTGATCTTTTGCTTCCCATAACATGAGTCTCTGCTAGTAAATGACGCATACTCAGAATGCAGCCGCACGGGTTGCTACGGGAGCCCCTCGTTACTCCCATATAACACCTCTCCTGTGTGAGCTGCACTGGTTACCAGTGGTTCTCCGGGTCCGCTTCAAGGTGCTGGTTCTCACCTATAAGGCCCTATATGACTTAGGTCTGGGATATTTGCAGGACCTTCTCCTGCCTGCCTCTCACCGTCCTGTTCGCTCACATAGGGCTGCTCTCCTCAGGGTTCCGATGGCGAGCCGATGTGGTCTGGCGGCACCCAGGGGTAGGGCGTTCTCTGTGGGTGCTCCCACCCTCTGGAATGAGTTGCCTACTGAGCTCCGGACAGCTCCTGATCTCCGCTCCTTCCGTCGGGACCTGAAGGCTTGGCTGTTCAAGCAAATAGGCTGACTCTGATTCTGGGTTTTATTATTTATTAGTTAATTTGGTCTAAAATGGGATTTTGTTGTACATGTTTTTAACTTGTGTTCGCTGCCCTGAGTCCTTCTGGAGAAGGGCGGCATATAAATACATTAATTAATTAATTAATTAATTAATTAATTAAATAAATAAATAAATAAATAAATGGTATCTTTTCAGAGGCAAACAAAATTTGGGAGGTAAATGACCTAGGTTCATTGAGCCATTGGTCTAGTGCAAGGGTGTCAAACTCGATTTCATTGAGGGCCACATCATGGTTGTGTTTGACCTCGGGGGGCCGGGGTGTGTGGCCAGGGGAACATGGCCAGCTCGACATCACTCATTTTGGGGGCACCTGTGGTGGCCCAGGCAGGACTCGGAGGATCCTCCTGCAGCCCAGCGAAAACGGAGCTCGGGAAGGCCGCACTATAGGCCGGTCCTTCGCTATTTCCAGGGCGGCCCCGTGGGCCAGATCTAAGCATCCCGTGGGCCAGATCTGGCCCGCAGGCCTTGAGTTTGACACCCCTGGTCTAGTGGTTAAGAGCACCAGGCTAGAAAATGGGAGACTTGGAGTTCTAGTCCTGCATTAGGGATGAAAGACAGCTGGGTGATCTTGGGCCAATTACCAGGCGATTTTGAGTTCTAGTCCTGCCTTAGGCATGAAAGTCAGCTGAATGACACTGGGCCAGTCATTCAGTCAAACTCACCTCACAGGGTTGTTGTTTTGGGGAAAATAGGAAGAGGAAAGTGTGTTTGGATACGTTCGCCACCTTGAGTTATTTGTAAAAATAATAAAGGCAGGATACAAAAAATAAATAATTACTGTATTTTTCGGAGTATAAGATGCACCAGAGTATAAGACGCACCTTAGTTTTTGGGGAGGAAAATAAGAAAAAAGCTGACTGGCAGGTGGATCGGCCTCCCAGAATACCCCAAATCAGCTGTTCGCAGAGGTGAATCTTAGCAACAGGTTCCTTGGTTGTGAGCTCTGTGCCTTGCTTTTTTTTTTGCTTTTTTTTCTGCCTCTGAAACTTCTGAAACTCTGTTTCAGAAAAAACTTTTCCCTGCCTTTGAAAGCCTCCAAAACAGAGCTTCAGAAAAAAAGCCTCTGAAGCTCTGTTTGGGGGCTTTTTTCCTGAAGCTTCGTTTCTGATGCTTTTTTCAGCCTCTGAAACCTCCGTTTGGAGTATAAGACGCAGCCAGATTTTCACTCTCTTTTTTTGGGGTGGAAAGGTGTGTCTTATACTCCGAAAAATACAGTAGGTAGTCCTTGACTTAACAAAAACAATTTGAGCCCAAAATTTCTGACAGTTGTTAAATGAGTTTTGCTCCATCGTATGAAATTTTTTTGGCCACAATTGGTAAGTGAATCACTGCAGTTGTTAAGTTAGAAACTTGGTTCTGAAGTGAGCCTGGCTACCCCATTGATTTTGCTTGTCAAAAGGTAGCAAAAGGTGTTAATGTGATCCTGGAACACTGCAACCATCATAACCATCATATGCCGATTGGCAAGCATCCGAATTTTGCTCACGTGACCATGGCAATGCTGCAACAATTGTTGAGTGAAACACGTCATAAGTCACTTTTTCGGTGCTGTTGTAACTTCAAATGGCCATTACATAAATGGTCTTAAGTCGAGGATTACCTGCATTAGATGCTTTGTCGCACAGTTTCTTGTTATTATCCTCTTGGCACCCAGATGGTCCACCAAACAAAAATACAGATTCTAGGGGATGGGAGAAAACTTACCTGCCAGGCTGGGAGAACTTTTCCAATGTCATTTAAGTTGATTCCATCTCCTTCTTCACATTTTCCTTTGCCAATTCTAAACCAGGGATAGACAAATGAGTCAAGTAAAGCACGATTTATGTATTTACCCTGTTTCCCCGAAAATAAGACATCCCCTGATAATAAGCCCAATCGGGCTTTTGAGTGCATGCGGTAAAAGAAGCCTCCCCCCCAAAATAAGCCCTCCCTGAAAATATTTAAACGCAGAGCTGGAAATCAGGTAAGATGGCAAGAGGAGCCCCATCTTGTTCCATGCACCTCAAAATAATAAGACCTCCCCGAAAATAAGGCCAAGCGCTTATTTCGGGGTTCAAAAAAATATTTTATTTTTGTCTTATTTTATTTTTGTCTTATTTTCGGGGAAACACGGTTTATTTATTAAATTTATTATTTATTAAGCAGATTTATATGGCTGACCATCTCACACACGGTGACTCTGGATGGCTTACAAGATTAAAATTTCACAATGTAAGAATTCATAACACAGAGAGAGAGGGGGGGACAGAGGGAGGGAGGGAGGGAGAGAGAGAGGGAGGGAGGGAGGGAGGGAGGGAGGGAGGGGGAGAGAGAGAGAGAGAGAGAGGGAGAGGGAGAGGGAGAGGGAGAGGGAGAAAGAGAGAACGCACTGGCCGCAATCACAGAACCACACCAACCACTTGATCGGCTCCATATCACCCTGGACTCCCTAAGCCTGCTGACAGAACCACATCTTCAGAGCGTTCTGAAAAGATAGCAAGGTGGGGCCAATCTTATCTCTGGGCCAATGGCATTTCAAAGGGAGGAAGTCACCACAGAGGAGGCCCTGTTCCTTTGTCCCACTAGACCAGGGGTCTGCAATCTTAAACACTCAAAGAGCCATTTGGACCCGTTTCCCACAGAAAACACCGTGAGTCACAAAACCTGGGTGGGCTCTCTTTTTCCACTCTCACTCTCTCCCTCCATCATTTTCTCATTTCTCTTTTTCTCCCCTTTTCTCTCATTTCTCTCTCTCTCTCTTTCTCAAATATGCATTCTGAGCCTTAGCTCTCTTAACTGTCTCACTTAGCAACACAATTTTTGGGCTCAACTGTAGTCGTAGGTTGAGGACTATATGTACAGTATTGTCACAAGCAGCCAACTGGCACAGCGTTACATGTCCAATTCAAGTGACTGAAATCTTTCTGTCTTTTGATCAATGTTTATTCTAATTCTCCCCAATTTGGTATCTGCCGTTCTGATGGTTAGGAATTCTGTGATTAGTCCCAGTCCCTCTGCAAAGCCAGGAAAGTCACCAGGGTAGCAAAACTTATTTCTTGCATTTTAAACTGTTTCTTTCGTATAAACTGGATACTTACCCTTCTCTGTCTATCTGTGGAAGAGGATGCTTAGGTGTGTTGCGGAGTTTTCTGTGGAACTGTGTGAAGTCAAGTTTCTCTGGTTGCAAATCCCAGGTTGCCCCACTGTAGAATAAAAAAATAATAATAATGGAGAAATGGAGAAGGCTGAAAGACTGGAGATTTGGAAGGAACCACCATACAAAATGGTAACTGGGTTTAACAGGGAATTGGGAGCACTAGGCAAACAAATATAACTGATATAACATTTCATTACCAAAGTAGGTAACATCATCAGTCTGATAATGAAACACTTGCAAGAAAACAATTAAGCTCAGAGAGCTCCAAGGAGTCCTCAGTTCAGCCCTGAGCTACAAATATTATCTTCTATTGAAACTGATACAAGGCTATGCATTGAGTATGGGTGCAATCAAATAAACAAACCATATTACTGAAGTGAAGAAGGCAGTCCAAATAAGACCTTCTGCCATTGTGAAAAACAGAGTAAGAATCAGAACAAGAGAAGGTCTACGTTGCAAATTTGTTCCAGCATTGACAACTGACTGATTTGATGGCAAACAAAATTATACTCGTATTAGTCCTTAAGCTGAATTACTAAAATATTCATTAAGACCCAACTGGTAAATGGAGATGTACAAAATGGAACTGAAATTATGACATGACTGACAGAGCAAAATGTAAATTAAAAAAGAGCGATGGAATCCAGAAAAGTTATTAAATCCTCAAATGGCATCTGAATGTTGGGCCTCTTTTGACAGCTGAAATGGCAGGTAAGGCCAGGTGACCAAAACTTCAGCTATTAGGATCAAACTGGTCCTTCAACTATGAAGACCAAGGAAGGGCTGGAGACAGAGAAAATCAGAACATTTGCTTTATATGCCTGTGTTCAATTCCTGTCACTCAAAAAAATCTTTTCCCCAGCTCTGTAAATTTGGTGAACTACAGCTAATTACAGGTAGTCTTTGACTTACAACCTCATGTAAGCCCCAAATTTCCATTGCTAAGCAATTTAACATGAGTTGTGCCCCATTTTATGATCTTTTGCCCCAATTGTTAAGTAAATCACTGCTGTTAAGTGAATCATGTGGCACTACTTAAGAGTTAACAAATGCTTCCCACATCCTCCTTCGTTCTGTGGGCAAGATTCCTTTTACACAATGGTTGTCCAGCCTGTGGGTCTCCCTCCTGTCTCCCAATGCCATTCTCATTTATCATTGTTATTGCTGTTAGTTCGTGTCCGACCCATCACGACCCCATGGACAACATTCCTCCAGGCCTTCCTGTCCTGTGTCATCCTCTGGAGTCCATTTAAGCTCATGCCAACTGCTTCAGTGACTCCATCCAGCCACCTCATTCTCTGCCGTTCCTTTCTTCTTTTGACCTCCATCGTTCCCAGCATTAGGCTCTTCTCCAGTGAGTCCTTTCTTCTCATTAGGTGGCCAAAGTATTTCAGTTTCCTCTTCAGGATCTGGCCTTCTAAAGAGCAGTCAGGGTTGATCTCCTCTAGGACCGACAGGTTTGATGGCCTTGCAGTCCAAGGGACTCGCAGGAGTCTTCTCCAGCACCAGAGTTCAAAGGCCTCAATTCTTTGGCGCTCAGCCTTCCTTATGGTTCAACTTTCACATCCATACATTGCAACTGGGAAAACCATAGCCTTGACTATACGCACTTTTGTTGGCAGGGTGATGTCTCTGCTTTTTAGTATGCTGTCTAGATTTGCCATAGCTTTCCTCCCCAGGAGCAAACGTCTTTTAATTTCTTGGCTGCAGTCCCCATCTGCGGTGATCTTGGAGCCCAGAAAAATAAAATCTGTCACTACCTCCATTTCTTCCCCATCTATTTGCCAGGAATTGAGAGGGCCGGATGCTATGATCTTAGTTTTCTTAATGTTGAGTTTCAAGCCTACTTTTGCACTCTCCTTCTTCACCCGTATCAAGAGGTTTACCATTTACCATTACAATTTGCTAGAACCCAGAAGGAGGACACTGCTTCAGCCCTAAAGAGCACCATTTCCCCTGAGATCCACATGGACCTGAACCTGACCTTATTTAACAAAGACCTTCACACTTAGTTTGCCTTCAAGGACTTGAGCTAGCCGCTGGTGAAGATCTCCAGAGTACTCCCATCATGGCCAGATCTTCTGTGTAAAATTACCTTTTGGTGTTTTTGATGCTTTTTTAAAATCAATTTTTATCACTGCATCCCTCTCTTACTTATCTACACTCCTGTTCCTGCTTCTCACACACAAAAAATCATTGGACTTAGGAATTTAGGATTAAAAAAGGACAGAGGCTGGGAAAAGATTAAGATGAGAATTACTCGCTTAGAAAGAAGGTCGGAAGTCATAATTGTATGGTTCTTTTCTTCTTTTTCTTATCTCCTTTTTTCTTCCATTCTTATTTTCAAACTTTGCTTTTGTATTTTCTATTTTGTTACTGTGTTGAAAAATACATTAGATAGCTAGATAGCTACTGTAACTAGCTAGAAAGATAGACAGATTAGATGGGTGGTTGGGTGGGTGGGTGGATGGACAGACGGATGGATGGACAGACAGACACTGGAATTTTAACTATGGAATACAGTGGTACCTTGGTACTCATCATTAATTGGTTCCAGGAGGTGTAATGAGTACCAAAAAATTGTACAAAACAAATTTTTCCTACAAGGAATAATGTAGCGTGTCACAAGGCAGCTAACGCTGATACGCTCTAGCTTGTGTGTTGAGTACCAAACAACTATGAGTTCTGGGACTAAATTTTTGCGTCAAAATGCATTGAGAACCAAATTTTATGAATTTCAAGCAGTTGAGTACCGAAGTACCACTGTACTTTGACAATTACAGATTGCAAGCCAAAATATTCATCTACGGAAAATGAAAGTAAGCTTACCTGAAAGATTCAAGAGTGTTGGCTGCCCAGATATCCGTTCCCAACATGTCCAGAGAGCTGTTTTTGTTTCCATTCTTTAAAAAAGAATGTAGACAAGATAATTGAGATATTTCCTTGTATGTTAAAAGTTTGCTTTGCAGCAGCATCTTTTTAATACAGGTAGTCCTCGACTTAGAACAGTTTGTTTAGTGACCATTTGAAGTTACAATGGCACTGAAAAAAGTGACTTATGACCATTTTTCACACTTACAACCGTTGCAGCATTCCCAAGGTCATGTAATCAAACTTTGGATGCTTGTCAACGTGATCCTCTTTTGCAACTTCTGACAAGCAAAGTCAACGGAGAAGCCAAATTCACTTAACAACGTTGCTAACTTAACAACTGCAGTGACTCACTTAACAACTGTGGCAAGAAAGGCCGTAAAATGAGGCAAAACTCACTTAACCACTGTCTCGCTTAGCAACAGAAATGTTGGGCTCAGCTGTGGTCGACTGTAACTTGAGGACTACCTGTATACAGCCTGTGAGTGGTTCTCAGAGATTCATGAAAATATTGTTTTCATGTAGGTTTCTCTCTGCTTGGTTAGTTGTAGTATAATGTGAAATGTGAGGAATATTGTGGGTTCCTAATGGCAATGATTTGAAAGCTGTAAATTGAGATATTTAGGTAATCCTCAATTTATAACCACAAATATAATTGGGGGTAGAAGGTATGGGTAGGACTGAGACCCCTTTGGTGTCTCCATCCTAGCTTCTGATGTCTCTTGATGTCCTTCAGATGGTGTCTTGTTGATAGCCATTGCCACCATTGTTGACATAACAGTTGGGAAGAGCTGATGATTGTGAATGAGGGTGGGGTCAGGGGTGAAATCCAGCAGGTTCTGGAAAACTGGTAGTGGAAATTTTGAGTAGTTCAGAGAACCGGCAAATACCACCTCTGGCTGGCCCCAGAGTGGGGTGGGAATGGAGATTTTGCAATATCCTTCCCCCAGGAGTGGGAGGGGAGATTTGCAGTATCCTTCCCCTGCCATGCCTACCAAGCCATGCCCACAGAACCGGTAGTTTAAAAAAATTGGATTTCACCACTGGGTGGGGCTCATTGTTTATATGGAAGGGATCTGGGTCTGTGTATGTATCTTCTTTGCTTTTTTAAGTAATGCAACTCCTACACTTTGCTGAACATAGCTCAAAAAGAAAGACAATATCCCAAATGCTTCTAGAACCAGAGGAAAGTGTAAGAAATTCTGCTCCTTAACTGTGCATGCAATTTGCCCATTGCCAGTTTTGACCCCTCCGAAAGGTCAGGTGGGTTCCTGGCCATGCAAAGCTTGACCATCTCTTCTGTAAAGGATTTCCAAGCTAAAACGATCCGTATCTCTGACCTAGTAAGATGATGCATGAAAAGATTTGGACAAGATATTGTGTTACCCCCAGCCATAGATTTGCAATCATGGATATTGTCATTCTGAAAAGGAAACCTTCTAAGGTGACCCCCTGCTGTCTCTTCATATGGAGGGGGTAGGGTGGAGAAGGACTTTGGTCCTGGGGTGCCCTATTTTGCAAAGGGCCCCTTTGCAAAATAGGGCACCTATTGTGCCCTATTTTGTGATGGGCAGAGAAGGAACAGTGGTGCAATGTATCTTAAACAAAGAACTGCATCAAAATCATTGCTACCCTGGAGAAGTTGTCTGGAAGAGCCCCTGGCGGGAGGAGAATACTGTGCAGAGAAGCATTAGGCAACTTCTGCTTTGGGCATCTAGCTTGGACTCGCCGGAGTCTTTTCTGTACTCTCAAAAGAGTGCATAAAAGAACAACAAAGATAAGTAGAGTGCTGGAGGCTAAAACATATGAAGAACAGTTGCAGGAATTGGGTATTTTTTTTTTTTTTAATTTGATTTATATGCCGCCCTTCTCCGGAGACTCAGGGCGGCTTACAATGCGTTAAGCAATAGCCTTCATTCTTTTGTATATTTTATACAAAGTCAGCTTATTGCCCCCACAAACTGGGTCCTCATTTCACCTACCTTAGAGAGGATGGAAGGCTGAGTCAACCTTGAGCCTTGGAGAGATTCGAACCAGCAGAAATTGCAGGCAGCTGTGTTAATAACAGGGTGCACTAAACCCCTGTACTATCAAGGGTATGTCTAGTATAGTGAAAAGAAGCACTAGGGATGACTTGATACCATTGTCCCAATATTTGAGGGGCTGCTACCAAGAAGAGGTCAACCTATTTTCCAAAGCATCTGAAGGCAGGGCAAGAAGCAATGGATGGAAACTAATCAAGGAGAGAACCAACCTAGAACTAAGGAAAAACTTCCTGACAGTGAGAACAATTAACCAGTGGAACGACTTGCCTCTGGAAATTGTAGGTGCTCCATCACTGGAGGCTTTTAAGAAGAAACTGGACAACCACTTGTCTACAATTCTAAAGGTTCTCCTGCTTGAAAAGAGGGTTGGACTAGAAGACCTGCAAGATCCTTTCCAATTTTGTTATTCTGCTAATTTGTGTGGGTTCCTTGAGGAAGGAAACACTATCTGCCATCTTTAATAGTAGGCAGTACATTCATGTGCAAGTTCAAGCTTTCATTCAATTTTGAATTAAAGACAGAATTAGGAATGGAACTCATTCTTAACCCATGGTCTGCCTTTGTTCAATTGTCCCACTGGGTTTTATTTCTAGGGAAATCTGTGTAGGTGTGAATTCACTCAATGGTATTTACTTTCCAACGGAAACACTACTCAGTTGCTCTCTAATCAAAATATATAAATATATAAATATTTAATATATAAAAAGAGCGCAAACCTCACTCCCTTCTAGCCCTGATGGTGTTACCTAGTTAGGTAATGAAATGTCTGCCTCCCCCAAAAAAACTCAACCAAGCTCAGATAGCACAAAGGACCCAACAGTTCACTCCTAAACTACAAACATTCTATTCTATTGGTACTAAAGGATGTTTTTCTGCATTAAAAAAATCCAATTTTTATTACCTGGTTTTGGTTATGGGGTGCTGACCCCTTGCCTCTGTAGCCGGACATGCTGCTTTCTATTTCCTCGTTACAGTCAACGGTCCACTAAAAAAGAGAGAAAAGATTAAGGTTTTGCTGTGTGTCACCCAGAGTCATGTGGGGTTAAATGGGACAGCTATATAAATTTGATTAATGAACAAATGAATATATTCTGACTGAAACAATGAACAAAATAAGGTGGCAGTGAGAGCAATGCACCAAGAAGGTAATTAGAGTTGGCTTTTGCTGGCAGGTTCGAGAGGAAACACCCCTTCTTTCACACCTTGTATCACAGAATATACCTGTGTCAACAGGTAACTGCACTTGGCCAATCTTACTGGAACTTGAAAGCTAAGCAGGGTCTGGTCTGGCTGGTTCTCGAATGGGACACCCCAAAGAAATTGCACAGCCTTTCCAGATTGTCACCAGATAGGTGGCATATCTAACCAATTGTGGTTGACCTAAAGAAGCTAAGTGGGATCAGAGTTCATTAATATTTGGATGGGAGTCCAGGATTTTAAACAAGGCTAAAGTCAGATAAAAATATATCTGGTTTCTATTTCCTATAACTCAAAAGGAATACAAAATGAGTCATATTCTATTTTGCCCACAAAATAGAAAAGAGAGGGAGATGGGGGGGGAGGGGAGGTGGGGAGAGGAAGAGACTAGCCCCAAATCATCCAGTCATCTTTGTATTCCTAAGGGAGGAATAAAAGGCATCACCATCTTCTGAGATTGGCTCAAAATCAGCCAGCCAGCTTTCACGCCTAAGGCAGGATTAGAACTCACCATCTCCTGATGATTGGCCCAAAGTCACCCAGCAGGATTTCATCTCTAAGGGAGGATTCATGGTCTCCCAGTTTCTAGTGCAGCACCCTATCTACTAGATCACATTGGCTTTTAAGCCACCTGTAGGAAGCCAATGATTCATGTGCGGCCATCTGGTAACTGATAGTAATTGGGGGCTAAAATTAAGCCCCTTAGAGGTTCCTGAGTCACGTTTGATTTTTGGTGACTGATCTGCCAAATAAATCATTCTTGACTCTTATTCCTAAAAAACATCTTCCTAGAGACCTGGAAGATTTGCCCCAAACTCACCTTGGTGACCAATTATTAATTATTATCATTATTAAATGAAAATAAAACTTTCTTTTTCCAGCAAGCCGGGCTGGCTTAACATAACATTTTTTAAAAAACATTTTTAACTGGTTTGTCATTTTAAATTGGGGCCAAATTAATATATATCCTTTTAATTGTTTTTAATGTTTGTATTGTATGTTTTTAGCTGGCTGTACACCGCCCTGAGTTCCCAGGAAGAAGGGTGGTATATAAATTCGAAGTAAAATAAATAAAATAAATTTATTTGCTGCCCATCTCGGTGTTTAGAGACTGATGCCATCACTGATCATTCCTCTGCAGCCTCCAAACAAACTTTATTGTTTGTTAAAATGGTGTCCATGCCTGATTTAAAACACACAGCTTGGAACTATCTGAAAAAACATCCATACTCTAATTCAGTTCTGCAGTGATTGTTATTCTTCTCACGATGCCTCTTTTTTGTGTTTTTAAACCAGTGGGAATGACCCACTCCAGGCCTGCCACCCACCTGCGAAATATTGGACTGTGTTTTCTCGTTCTCTTCATCCCCTTCGGTTTTTTCAGTCAACAAGCCTTGGACTTGATACTCCAAAACGTAGCTGTCGATGAACCTTTCCAGCTCCTCAATTTCTTGTGACCGGTTGCTTCCTGCCTCAGAAGAGGCAGAAGCCACGGAAGAATTTTCCATCCCCCTCTGTAATGAACCAAGAATTGAGGTGTCCTAAGATGGGGAGAGGGAAAAAAAACAAAACAAAAATTAAGCCAGTGACTGAGACATTATACACTCCATGTCTTCCTCCTAGCTAGCAAAACCTACACAGGTAATTCTCAACTTATGACCACAATTGAGTCCAAAATTTCTGTTGCTAAGCAAGATGGTTATAAAGCAATTTTTCCCCCATTTAGCAACCTTTCCCTGCTATAGTTATTAAGTGAATCACTGCAATTGCTAAATTAGGAACACATTTGGTAAGTGAATCTGGCTTTTCCATTGACTTCACTTGTCCGAGGGTCGCCAAAGGTGATCTATGACTCTGGGACCCTGCAACCGTCATAAATATGAACCAGTTGCCAAGCATCCAAATTTTGATCACGTGGCCATGGGGATGCTCTAATGGTCAATGTGAAAAACGGTTTTTTCAATATCTGTAGAGATTCTCAGTCATCCATTCTCAGTCTTCCAGGTCATGGTTGTCCCAAAGGTGCTTTTTCAGAAGGCAACTAGACTTCCTTGTTGTTGTTTTTTCTTTTGAAGACGTTTCGCTTCTCATCCAAGAAGCTTCTTCAGCTCTGACAGGATAGTGGTTTTTTTCAGCGCCGTTGTAACTTTGAATGATCAGTAAACAAATGGCTGTAAGTTGAGGACTACCCTGTAATGTACTAGTTGATGAAATTCTTTATTGTCTGAGCAACAAATCCTTTTAGAACTGCAACTTAATGTATGGTTTTTGCACCTGACAATTTATTAAGTAATCCGGGAACATGGATAAGTAATATTTACAATATTGAGAAAGTATCATGTTTAATCAGCCTTTTTATTCTCTCTTTCTCTCTCTCTCTCTTTCTGACACACACCTGGGAAGGAACATACTGCTTCCTTTTCGCCTTTCAGCCCCAATCCAGAAGCCCTCAGGCAGTGGCTTTCAAAACAAACTATTTTGTGTTAAATTTCTATTTACTGACAAAGAAATAAAGGGAGACGAGTATAGCTCTATTTCAAACTATGGGCCCAGGTTCGAATCCCAGAAGGGTATGGCTAGCTGATGAGAGCTAAATAGCTTGAAATAGATCTATACTAGTCTCCCTTTATTTCTTTGTCAGTAAATATACTGCTCAAAAAAATAAAGGGAACACAAGCAGAAGACATCTGAGATCTGAATGAATGAAATAGCCTTATTAAATACTTTGTTCTTTACATACAGTAGTTTATATACTGCTCAAACAACTAAAGGGAACACAAAACTACTGTATGTAACGAACAAAATATTTAATAAGGCTATTTCATTCATTCAGATCTCGGATGTCTTCTGCTTGTGTTCCCTTTATTTTTTTGAGCAGTGTATATGTATCAAATTTATATTTCACTGATAAAGAAATAAAGGAGACTAGTATAGATCTATTTCAAGCTATTTAGCTCTCATCAGCTAGCCATACCCTTACTTGGATTCAAACTTGGGCTGCCTGCATGCTAGGCCGCTGTATTAACCTCTGAGCCACAAGTTCTCCTCCCTTCATCAGCTTGAGCCAGGAAAGAGATTAAGTGTTTTTCTATCGAGACACCTGATCTACCCCAGTATGTGAGAGGGAGCATACTGCATAAATATATATAAACCTCCTACCTAGTGTTTAGTTTTTCTTCCCATTCCACCTAGTAGACAATTGGCATCCTCTTCTGGCTGAGGGATCTGGCTCGTCTCCATCTTTATAACGATCAAACTAGCTATCATAATGTTTTTCAACTGGGCTGGGTGAGAACTAGCTCTGCAACATGCTTCGTTTTTTTTTCCTTGGTACTTTTGTACGATGATAAATCTGCTCCTTGGAAGCCAGTCAAGATTTGAAAGTTGTCAACGTGCTGCAAAAAGCATATTCTAAAAATCTGGAATTTGTCTATTTATGAAGAACTTTGGGTTTTATTATGCTTGGAGTGGGGCCAAAAAGAGCATCATGTATTCCTGGAATGATACGTGTATATGCCAATTATCAAAGATTGGTTTGATGAAATATGTATAGTCTCAGCTTTAGAGCTGGCACTTCATGGCTATAAGTGAGAAATTTGTTGTGAGTTTTGCCTCATTTTATGACTTTTCTTGCCACTGTTGTTAAGCGAATCACTGCAAGTTGTTAATTAGTAACACGGTTGTTAAACAAATCTGGTTTCCTCATTGGGATTGTTTGTCAGGTCACATCAACATGATCCCGGGACACTACAACCGTCATAAATGTGAATGTAAATCACGTGACCATGGGGATGCTGCCACAGTCATAAGGGTGAAAAATGGTCATAAGTCACTTTTTTCAGTGCCATTGTAACTTTGAAGGGTCACTAAGTGAACTGTTGTAAGTCAAAAACAACCTGTATTTTGCTTCTTACAGTTTAATTAAACCAATGTAATCATCATTTAAAGAAGGATTAGTGTAATGGGCAAACGAACTAGGCCTGTCTTCACAGCAACTGAGATTCGTTTCAATCCACTGAACTTTGCCCCATTGAAGCCAAGATGGCACCCACTGGCCTTGGCAAAACCATTCATGGGATCCGTCAGGGAAATTGTGCAGCCGGTGTCCCAATGAAGTCAAAGATGCTGAAATGAACTTGTAGTTTTATATTTGGATTTATAAATATATTTATAACATCTATATTTACAGTAAATAAGATAGCAAGTCACTGATTAACATCATGAGGTAAATCGTCCTCATTAAAATCATGAGGTAAATCGTCAGGTAAATCACAGAACAGCAAATGGAGCGCACAGAAAAAAAAAGGCGGGAAAAAAGGGAAACTCCTCCATTACACCCAGCAACCAATCATAATGTAGATTGCCTCAGGCAGGAGCTCGCACTCTCCAATCAATCAACTACCACTGTTATCTGTCCGTTATCCGCTTTACTGTTCCAGCTATTAAATTAAATATCTTAATAGGCCTCTCAAGCAGTTTGCCCCCTTCCTTGTACAAGTAGTCCTTCGCTTATGACCAGAATCTGAGCCCAAAATTCATGTTGCTAAGTGAAACATTTGTTCAGTGAATTTTGCTCCGTTTCGGAGCAAATGTTGCCACAGTTGTTAAGCGAATCATTGCAGTCGTTAAAGTTAGTCACATGGTTGTTAAATGAATCCTGGCTTCCCCATTGACTTTGCTGGTCAGAAGGTTGCAAAAAGTTGATCACGTGCCCCCCCCCTCCCCGGGGACTCTGCAATGGTCATAAATATGTATCAAATTTGCCAAGTGTCTGAGCTTTGATCATATGACCACGGGGAGGCTGCAACGGTTGTAAAATGTGAAGAATGGTCATAAATCACTTTTCTTTTCAGTGCCGTTGTAACTTTGAACAGTCACTAAATGAACTGAAGGACTACCTGTATTGGCAAAGTGCTTGCAAACTGGCCCTGCCATCTCTCTTGGCAAACACCACTCACTTCCTACCCATAATAGAATAACAGAGTCGGAAGGGACCTTGGAGGTCTTCTAGTCCAACCCCCTGCTTAGGCCAGAAACCCTACACCACTTCAGACAAATGGTTATCCAACATCTTCTTAAAAACTTCCAGTGTTGGAGCAGTCACAGCTTCTGGAGGCAAGTTAGATGGAAACCTGTGCTTCTCACTTTGCAAAAGTCACACAGGAGGAAGGAGAAAGTGAAGAAGGCATTGCTAAGGTTATAGAATAGAATAACAGAGTTGGAAGGGACCTTGGAGTTGCCTGATCGTCAGAGGCTTTTAAAAGCATTTTTTAACAACCTCTTCGGCAGAAGAGGTTGTAGAAAAAATGCTTTTAAAAGTTAAAAAAAAAAAAAGTTGGCCACGCCCACCCAGTCACATTACACACACACACCCGACCAAGCCACACCCACAGAACCGGTAGTAACAAATTTTACATTTCATCACTGCTTCAGGTGCTTTGGAGAATATATGCCTCTTCCTTGTGGCAGCCCCTCAAATATTGGATCTGGGCTATCATGTTACCTCTAGTCTTTATTTTCACTAGACTAGACATACCCAATTCCTGCAACCGTTCTTTGTATGTTTTAGCCTCCAGTCCCCTAATTATCTTGGTTGCTCTTCTCTGCACTCTTTCTAGAGTCTCCACATCTTTTTGGCGACCAAAAAGATGATGAATCGGTAAACATCATGGTGACCAAAACTGGAAGCAATATTTCAAGTGTGGTTGAGGACAACCTGTATACTGTGGAGCCACAGGGAAGCCCAAACAATGGGCAAACAACTCACTTCCATGGTTGACAAACAAAAGGCAGAGGATGGGGGGGAGGGGCGAAAAAAGACTCAATGAAGCCTGCTCTTCAAAGGGGGGGGGGGAGGGGGGAGAGAGAGAGAAAGAGGGAAAGCAGAGGGAGTCTCCAACTCCGTGTTGTAAAGTTCCGTGCTGATCTGCAAAGAAATAAAAGGCAAACGCTTTTGCTACGAGAACGTGATCTGTGAGGCAAACTCATTGTTCCACCCGCTGCAGCAGACAATGGAGAGACGCCATGGAGGACCGTCATTCACTGGGACTGCTTTTCAAGAAGTGACAGATGGACAATGCTGAGCAGGCATGACATGTGGGAGCAGGAAAGAACTTGGGGGTGGTGGCGATGATGGAATGGCAAATCATTAACTGGTTGGAGTGGATAAGGACCACAAAGGAATAAGTGATCCTTCTCTATAAATCAAGTATTTTTCTTAATAAGCCCTGCTAAAAATGTAGGATAAATGAACGGCTCCTGCAGCAATTACATGCTGAATGTCAAGCTGTTTTTTTTTTTTTAAATGCTAATTACTCAAGTTCCCAGACCAATTAAAAAAACTAACATTATTTAATTAGCAGAAGAAAAATCAAACCTGAAACTATAATTGATGAAAAGGAAGGACCAATGGACTCCTGCATTCCACAGTTTTTGCTAAGAATGTTTTTTGGTGGTTGGCCATGTTTGATATTGTAGAAGGAGGTCAGTAGTTTCTTGATCAGGAAGACAACTAAGATTTCTCATCAGGGTGGATAAAAAT